CTCCAGAACCAATAACATTAGAATGTCTGGCAGTGGGTCTCAGGCAGCAGTACTTTTTAAACCTCTCCATGTAATTTTAGTTTGCAACCAAGTTTGAGAATCCATGGTTTAGTTTACGTTGCAGTCTCGTACCCTTTACCTTACCCCTAAGTTGGCTGTACATGTCTGAGTACAACTGGGGACATTCTACTTACAGAGTGCTGACAGTGCACACAGAGAGCCCTTAGCCAATCGTCAAGGACTCCAGGAGTTTTTAAATTACTTTCACATGTGGACTAGAGTGGCCTGATTGTGCAGATTGCTATAAGGACAAGTAAAGGAAGAGTGACTCCATGTAAAAACAAGATGCCCCTTATAAGGGAGGCTGTTTCTTATCTATTCCATGCATGTAACTTAGCAAGTCCAGGAATGCTACAGACTCAAGCTAGGGTTTAGTTCATATTCCTCGATGTCCTTTTTTCCTAAGTCAGCTTGAAACTTAAATTTACATTGTACTTTCTAAGACTATTTCTGCATCTTTGCTTGTATCATCACTTCCTACATGAAATGCCCTCTCCATTTATCCCAGTTTCCATTTGACCTTCTTTTCCCCCCAAAATCTACTTGGTCAGCCATTCCCGGAAATACTCCAGGGTCCCCCGCTCTTCATGAAGCCCTCAGGTGTTCAGCTGTAGGGCCAATCATTTGGCCCTTAACCTGAACTGTCTTTCATTATTATTTCTCCAAGTCTCCTCCACCAGTGCTTAAGCTTTTTAAAGAAGAGAACTTGAATTACACGTTTTTATTCCCATTAGAGAAGGGTCTTGCACATAGTAAGTGATCAGTAAATGGTTGTTGATGATTTGAAGGTTCAAATTAGACATGTGTTTTTGCCCTGAAATTAGACATCAGTTCTTTCAAGAAGATTTTCTTGTCCACACACAAAACCAAGTTTAAGATTCTATTATATCATCATAGCTCCACAGGTTAGTTTCACACTGGATTATATTTGTCTGTCTCATGTCATATTCTTTGAAGTCTGAGTTTTATTCATGGGCAAGTCTAGCACCTACCACAGGAATGACAAAAATCATCTCTGGATGAATACATAAGAGCATGCTCCAGCCTAGATCCTCAGATTATTTCAAGACAACACAGCATGTCATGTAAGCAAGTGCAGGGATTGGAACCCTATGTATCCCAGATAAACAATACATGGAAAGTTGCAGTGACTTCTTTTTTTTTTTTTTAATTATCATACATCTTCCTATATTATTTGTTTTTTTAAGAAGATACAACAATTGTTAATATGCATGGGTAAAACAGAATTTCAACATACGTAAAGCGAACTTCGACGGAAAATAGAAATGTACAATTCCAATGGTAGAACACTTTTCAATAGTAAGAAATTTTTTAATGCAAATCAAAATATGTCTCAAAACAAATGAAAAGGAAAACAAAATATTCCAAAACCTATGGGATGTAGCAAAAGCTGATGTTAGAATGAAATTTATGCTATAAATGCTTGTCTTAAGAAAACATTTCAAATAATGTTTGAACTTAACATTATACCACAAGGAACTAGCAAACTTAACATTATACCACAAGGAACTAGAAAAAGAAGAAACTTAGCTGAAATATAGTAGAGGAAGAAAATAACAAAAAAAAATCAGAAACAGATAAAATAGAGACCAGAATAAATAATAACTTAACATTGAAAGTACTTTGTTTTTGTTTTTTAATGAATGGGACTTTCTTCTGTCCAAAATGAAACAGTTTGGTAGATGAACAAAAACTCAAGAATTAACATTATTGGTGATTTGTTATAAACATTTTTAGAAATACTATGAATCAGACTAAATATCAAGCAGATTGATAGCTCTCTATATAATTTAAGTATTTGTCCTTTTTTTCTTGATTTAGTAGCCTATTTTTTGAACTATGAGCATTTTTATTGCAAAATGGTTTTAAATCTTTAAGACTTCTTTTACCTGAGTTGTATAAAAATATTCTCAACTCCGGCACATTAAGAACATTCTGTAAGTGTCTGAAAATGGAATTGAAATAATCATGAAATATGTAACTCTTTAGGATCAGGTGCCTTCTGGCATCACGACTCCTTCATGTTTAATGTTTTAGACCTTACGCTTTTGCTCCATAGAAAGATATATATATAGAAAGAGACTGTTTGGGGGGGCGCCTGGGTGGCTCAGTTGGTTAAGCGACTGCCTTCGGCTCAGGTCATGATCCTGGAGTCCCGGGATCGAGTCCCGCATCGGGCTCCCTGCTCAGCAAGGAGCCTGCTTCTCCCTCTAACCCTCCCCCCTCTCATGTACTCTCTCTCTCTCATTCTCGCTCTCTCAAATAAATAAATAAATCTTTAAAAAAAGAAAAAAAGAAAGAGACTGTTTATCCAGTGGTATAGAAAGGTAATTTAGATGTTGAAATGACTAGATGTTTTGAGAAGAGTAGCAGTGTCTTAACTATTTATCATCTCTACCTTATATCTACTTTTGGACTTTCAGTTTTCATAATCATTATTAATAATGCTATTAATAAAGTAGAAATCAGCAAAAAAGTCATGCTTTCTATGAAGGTCAGAGAACTGCATTAACTTGGGAAAGGCCAGCTGATCTAGCTTTCTGCTTTAATAACCCAGAGACTAGCTTTTGCCAATAGCCTGGAGTTTTTGGATAGTAAGAGACTTATTGTACATAAGACTGAGGTAGACACTGAATACCAATTTATTAATTTCACCAACAGTGATAATGCCTATGCAGACCATAAATACTATGGCTATGTATAAATGTATAATCTCCTTATAGTCAAACTACATGTAAAACAAGAAATAATTAAAAGTCCTTTTATTGATTTACTCTGATAAATCACAAAGACCTTAAATGTTTTAAATCTGTTCTGTCAGCCCACTCTCTACATGACAATCAGAAGTTTGTTTGGAGAGCATGGAAGCAGAGCAGTAGAAGTTAATATCGCTAGTGTGTGGAGTTATTACATATAGTTTAATTTTTCCATTTGGTGATAGATGTGGTATTGCCAGTGAGACTAGGACTATTCTAGCTCCAGCCCCTTCCTTCCTTTCTCCATACTTAAGAGTATACTTGGAGTAAACCTTAGTAATGAGATCAGAAAAACTGAAGATACCTGAAATGTGATGGCCCAGTCTACTTCTCTTTTAGATGAGCCACCAACATTTTCTCCTCTTTCTCTGTTCTTCAGCTGCTCAAGACTTCTTGCTATTCATATTTCTTCTTTGCACTCGCTAATACATCTGATCAGTTTATTGTTAAGTATGACTGACCAAGGAGCATTTCTCTTATCAGGGCATTTTTTATTTCATGTTGATTTTACAGGTTAACTCTTAGGATGTAATTTGCTTTCCTCATCTTGGAGTTTTTTGGGTTTTTTTGTTTTTGTTTTTTGGGTTTTTGGGGGGCGGTTAGGTAACACTGTAGTTTTAAAGTAAACAACACCTATTGTTTACTGAGTGTCTACTCTGTGCTAAATGCTCTACAAGTCATTTTTCATATGGTACACAGTTTATTCTCAAAGAGCATTCCAAGTAGATATTACATCTCCCTTTAAAGATGAGTAAATTGAGATAGATTAAAGCTAAGTCTCACAGCTAGTAAGTAGCAGAATCAGTATTTGAATCCATGTTTGTCTGATTCCAAAGCCCTAATTTTTTTTCTACTGTGCTATTATTTCTTGATAATGTATCTTCAGTACTTGAAAACACTGTTCTTTTGAAACTTTTCACAGTAAGAATAGTATTATTTGGCAATGATTAGAGGCATCTCTTTAGTAGTAAATTTCAAATTTAAAAATCAGTGATATATATGAAAGAAGTGGTGTGGCCGTTAATGCTTTCCTGCCTCCTCTCTCACTGGTCTAGAATAAGAATGGATGATTCTGTAAACACTCTTTGTTTGTTGAGCAAAAATAACAACTTTCCCAAGGTCAGATCAAGTTGCAAATACAAGAGGGTTTTTTTTTTTTTAATTAAAAATTTTAACTCTATACTGCTTCTATGAGAAACTTGTAGTGAAAGGAAAGGGAGCTCTCTATTTAATGAAGAATATTTGCCAATTATTTTTAACCTCTGATAGTATTCTTAGTCAGACTCAAATACCAAAAAAAGTGTTTAATTTTTAAGTGTCTATGTGCATTTCCTTATAGGCATTAGCTCATCAAAACAAAACATCTTCCTTTGATTTTTCCCTCTTACTTAGGTCTTCTAAGGGGCAAATAAGTCTGAGAATCCACATCTAAGTCTTTCGTAGAATGTGGAAATTAAAACTGAAATATTTTTATATTTTCACTTTTTTTTTTACCACTTTGCATGTTTGATATTAAAAATGAATGGGGAGGTGAGGAAAGAAAAATTCCCAAATGTTTCAAGATTCACAGCAATTGCAAAATTTATTCAATTCCTAATAAGCTTTAAGCAAATATCAAACTTTTGGTCATGGAGTCTGTGGTTTCCTTATAACCAATATTTCTACAATTCATAATAATCATACTTTTAATGAAATGCAAATTTGTTATAATGGCAGTCGTTCATTTATTTTGTTTATCTTTTGATGAAAGACATTTTAGTTCTTTCCCTTCTTTTAACTGCCAACAGTATTTGCTATTCATAGATGTTCTGTCTTCAATAAGGTCTATCAAAGTGTAAAACTAGATGGGTATTTTCCTTCCCTTTAAAATGGAATGGTCTTTCATTATGCAGTGTTCTTAGGTGAATTCTCTTGTTTAAGAACCCAGAATACAAGAGAGTGCTATATTAGTGTATTATTCTCACAACAAACAAGCACTGTTCTGTTGCTACCTGCTTGGCCATTGTTTCTGATTGTGTGTGCTTTGCAGTGGTATTTGGATGGTTTCCTGCTCTCTGCCAGCACAAAAAGGCATTTCTGTTACAATGGCCCCTAACCACACAATGACGGCATTAAGGATTTATGTGGAGGTTTCATTATTTTCTCCTCTTTTGTTCCTTCCAGGATGTCTTCCAAGCGACCAGCCTCTCCGTATGGGGAAGCAGATGGAGAGGTAGCCATGGTGACAAGCAGACAGAAAGTGGAAGAAGAGGAGAGTGACGGGCTCCCAGCCTTTCACCTTCCCTTGCATGTGAGTTTTCCCAACAAGCCTCACTCTGAGGAATTTCAGCCAGTTTCTCTGCTGACGCAAGAGACTTGTGGCCATAGGACTCCCACTTCTCAGCACAATACAATGGTAGGTTTCTCATGGTCTCTTGTGCCTTCACTCACTCTTTGACCAGTCTACTCTTCTAATAGTTTGCCTTCAGTCCTTTGCTTTATAATTATAATTATAATTATCATCTAACAGCCAGACACAAGATTCACTCCTAACATCTTAGAATTCCTTATAAGTAAATTGATTCCAGTAGGAAGTATATGACATGCTATTTTTTTCTCTTTTTTGTTTTTCATGAATTTTGCTTTTGAGACACAATTTAATTAGGAGAAAACACATGTACATATAAGAATAATGTTCAAGTAACACATTTAAAGTTAGTCAGCATGACAGTTAGATGTCATAGTATTTCTAATAAAAGGTTTTTCTAGATAGAGTTACAACGTACTTTGAACATCACCATGATAAATCAATGTTTTTCAATTTTTTGCTTTGCCCAGATTGGATTCCAGTATTCCTTTACAGTACTCAGAATATTACAGGAGAATGTATTTCGTAGAAACTATATTTTTTTAATATGACTGAAATACTTTCTAACTCAGTCTCATTCATTCTGTTGTTTTGATAATTCAGTAATTATCTGGTGCATCCTATTCCAGAATTTGCAACTCAGGATAATTTATCTGCCCCTTCATCCTGGCGTCTGGATCATTGTCATTGCAGAAGATCAGGAAACTGTGGTTTCACGGATGAGAGGGAAGAAGGCAACATAGCATCTTTGGCTGAAGCTTAAAAGCACGCACACACACAAACACACACACACACACAGAGTCGCCAGTAAGGCTTTTAGGTCCTTCTTAGGAACTTAAATACACAGAATCAACATGTTGGCAAGGTAGCAGGGAACTTAGCTGCCAGGAAAGCCACACTCGCCTTTTCAACATGGCTGCTTGGGTACATGTCATGGTTTTGTGACCTTCTCCTCTTCTACTTCAAGGATGGTAGGGCCATTAATTTGAACCAGATTACACCCTGTTTCCTCATACCATCTCATTCTTTTGAAGACGACTCTGATTCTGTGAAATGCTTTTTTTTTTCCGCTTTCTCTAGAAAATTATTACATATCATAAATGTGCTTGGTATTGAAATATGTTCACTTATTTATGTTATTGCATTACTGTATGTAGAACTAAATCAACAAGAAGAATCAGGTATCTCCTAATAATTGTGAAATGGATGCTATGTTTTGTCACTCACATTAGATTTAAATGCTCTTTCAACACTTTAAGCCTCATAGGTCAAAATTTCACTGGGTGGATTACTATATGCCAAGATTTTCCCTTCAAGGATTGTATTTCTGCTAACACTATGTAACACTTATATAGATGTGGCATTTTAGTCACATTATGTATATTAACTCATGTGACCTTCACAATAATACAGTGGCGTGTTATTATTAGTCTCATTTTATAAGTGAGGAAACTGAGGCACACAGAGGTTAAATAATTTGCTTCAGATCACAGCTGATACAGAGGAGAACCAGGGTTGTTTACCCAGACATTCTGGAGTCCATGCTTATAAATATTATAAGCTCTTCACAAGAGCACGTGCATATTTTATTGTCTGATTATCTCTTTGTTGGCAAGCTAAATCATATTATCCATAATTCCTACTTTTTTTTTCTCTACTGTGAGTTTATATTACCTATGTGCAATGATACAACTTTTTGGGCTCCTCTCATAAGGGTTAAACCTAGGATAAGAAAGGGGGAAAATGGTAGTACACAGTTCAACAGGGTAAGGAGATCATACTCTCCATTTGGCATTGCATCACTGCTAATGCCTTTTCTTTCTCAGTATCTTGACCATTGCCTTCTCTTAGGGAGTGCTTCTTGGTTTGGTTTTCCTGTGGTACTACTCTAAGCATAAACACAGATTTGAAGGAATGAATATAAATAGTTATAACCCGAAGAATACCACAAAAATAAAGGAGAGATTATTTTAAGTATACTCAAAGATGCGTATAAGAAAATTATATTAAATTACATTCTGTAGCTGGAATGAGGGATCCTGTGATGCAGGATGTTAGTGAAAATGAAACCAGTTTGTAAGGAAGAACTCAGTTCAACTAGATACAAACTATGAATTGCCTACTTTGTACCAAGTTTCTTGTTGTTATTGTGGGGCACTATGGAAACAGATTTGAATAAAACACAACTCCTTCTCTCAAGCAACTTCATGTAGAGCAATAGTTCTTAGGCAGGGCCTATGGGATCTTCTGAAAATGAATGGAGAATTCTGTATTATGCATACGAGTGAGTAAGATTATGGTTTTCATCAGATTCTCAGACCGATCTCAGGATACAAATGGTTTAAGTATGTTTTAGTGACATGCTGACACTTGCTCTTATATATATCAAATTGGTTTCTAAATATGTTCCTGCCTGAAATGTTTCTTGATTCCATCAGGTTTTCACCTCTTAAGTAGACAGTTGGAAAAGTCTCTCATATGATCTCAGATTTTTAGCCTCTCCTCTCTCCTGTCTTTCTTTCAGTATCCACAGGATTGTTTCCCTGACAATTGAGTTGGATTGTTTACTTTGGGAACTGTGTGTCCTTGTTTTTATAGGAATTAGTCTAAAACTCATTGTCTTAGCATAAAACTTTGTATAAAGTAGCACCAAACTATGGCCTTGGTCTTCTCTCCTGTCATTTCTCGCCATGGACCCACTATTCTTGTCGTGCCAAGTTTTTCATGCATGTTCAGAAATATACCAGGTGATCTTGCATGACACAGCTTTATTCTGGAAAACGCTCTCTTTTCATATTTTACCTTCCTAGTGAATTGCATATAATTATGTCTAATTATATTATATGATATATTAATATAGAATGTTAATATACAATCACTATATATTAATATATAATTAATATAGAATACATAGAATATAATATATGTTTGTATTTCTGATACCTAGCATATAATAGACAACATATGATTATTGATTAGATGGCAGAATTCATATGGATGATTAAATAGTAAATATGTTTTGGGCAAAGTCATTAAGACTATTCATGGTGAATATGCTGATTTTCTAGAAATTTAAGAACTAAAATAGAATGTATTAATGTAGTATACTCAGAAAGCAGAAAGTATGTGTAGTAGCCATGATATAGTCACTGGTTAATGTGATTGATATATTTTATTCATTTATCAAAATGATTGAATATATTTATAGAATTGTTATTCAACACAAATCATTGCACTTTATCTGGGTAGTAGGCCATTGTAATGTTCACTTAACAGAAACTTTTATTTCAGTAGGAAAATACATTTTTTTTCTGTTCGGTGTATTTGAAAACGGAGACAATATTTCATGGTCTCCATATCATAGAGTTCAATTTAAGGAAAAAAAAACAGGTTTCCAGATTTCATTGCCTATTTATATGTGACATTCATACTCTATTCCTAAATTAAAAAAGGAATGAGAGGTCCACATTTTATATTGCCAATATAGTTTAGAGACAAAGTAAAACTGATGAGTAATCCCTGTAAGGCTGGCTTGAAGTTATGGAGAGATGCTCTCAGTATAACATTTAGGTTGGAAAATATTTTCTGAGATAAAAGTTCTGTACACTTCAAAACTGTTGCCATATAAAGATTTTGAGGAATTAGGGTTGTTTGTTCACATGCAGGGTATGCAAGTGTTTGGAATTGGGTCAGGTGAAGATGTAATTCTTCCCTTCTGAAGTTGTGTTTATTGCCTGAATATTTTGGAGAAATAAATTAAGTGCCTTACTAAGAGCAACTTCCATTAGCAGTACTGATATGAATACTGTAAGTCTATCTATCCTTGGAATGGTTTACTTACTATTCAGGGTGCATTACAGATCAACTGTCTTAAGCTGTTGTTGTTTTTTTAATTGTCAGATTTCTAGCCAATATAAGATTGAGACATAGATATGAAAAAGACTGATTCTGTGGTTTCCTTCTCTCAAGCTCTCATAATCTTGCCAAGCAATTAATGGCAAATTTTGATTCCCATGTGATCTTCAAAAAGGTGAAAGGCAAGGTTGTAAAGTCTGATTCTGACATGAGTGGAAAGGCAGTTTGGGACTTTATTTTTACGGAAGATCAGATCTACCCGTCCTGTCCCTTTCCCCCCTTTTTAAACATGGGTGTGGAGGCTGTCACTTTAGAGTTTCAGAGATAAGCAAGAATCACTATAATTTCTTGCTCATTTTTAATAATAGTTCTGATACAAATGAATTTATTTCATGATGCAAAGAACTATTGAGAACATATCTTCATGTCAATCAATGTGATTATATATGAGCACCAGAAAGGAATAGAGTGAGTATGAAGAGAAATCAAGGGGCAGCTTGAGAGGCAGCCAACGGACTCTGTGGTCGCCATTTTGGTGCTCGTTTTCTGTCTGGTTGCATACTACTTCTGCTGGCTAGATTGTTGTTCTAGTGTCAAACGTGATGTGAAATGAAAGGCTTGACCGCCTGTGGTTACTGAATAGTCAATTGTCTCTTTTTTTCTTTTTTTTCTTTTCCACAGAAGGTATACACTTATCTTAGCCAAACTCTCTTTTGACTTCTTAAAATCCTCTTGAGTTGAATGAATTGTTTTGTATAACTATAGAGTGGCCGCCTCCCAACACTGATTTTTAAAATATGTAATTATTTATTTTAACAGTACAGTATTCTTATTAAAAAATAACTTGAGTTGCTCACTTTATAGATAGCTGAATTTCATACGAAATAAAGACTGTGTATAAGTTTTTAACATTTATTTTTATTTTTTTTATTTTTTTAAAAGATTATTTATTTATTTATTTGGCAGAGAGAGGCACAGCGAGAGAGGGAACACAAGCAGGGGGAGTGGGAGAGGGAGAAGCAGGCTTCCCGTGGAGCAGGGAGCCCGATGTGGGACTCGATCCCAGGTCCTTGGGATCATGACCTGAGCCGAAGGCAGATGCTTAACGACTGAGCCACCCAGGCACCCCCTAATTTTTTAACATTTAAAGATCCATTGGATTTGGAAATAAGTTTTAATATGTTTTAGTATCT